TTTTACTAGCATTACTTCAGTAGGAATTTTATTAGCACTCAAATTTGAAGCAGGAATAAATTTATTTAAAATTATTCAGAAAGCAATTAAAAATTACTTTCATTCAGAGTAAAGGCAATAGTAAATATTTACTTAAGGATTCATATATTTTCTTAATTTAAATAAATATCATCGAAATTATATGAAGTCAATGCTTTATTCATGAATTTCTAGAATGCGATAATATAAAATATTGCATTTGTCTAATTCATATTTTCTCAAATTATATCTAAAAGTGTCCATGATAGTTATAAAGGAAGCAAACTTTAGATATACTATAAAATTAGCATTGTTCTTCAATAAAATAAATCATATGATTGTAAATTTATCTCTAAACTTCCCAGGTGAGTGAGATAATACAAATTTACTTAACAAGCTTCAAGAACAGCCAATTATATTTCAGAACTCTTTTCCAAAGCAGTGTCGAGAAAATAAAACAATTGTAATTTAGATTACAGATTCTACTCCATATATAGAACACATCATTATTTAACATCTAATTAGTTTACTTTTTGAAATCATACGCGGAAATAATTAATAATGGAAACACTTGAAATATTTTAGCCCGGATGAGTGAAGTTTCCGTTTCAATAAAATATTTATAGAGTTGTAAATAAACACGAGCAGATAATTCCCTTTGAGACATAGCAGAGAGATATCTTTGAAGTAAAAGAAGAAGCCCCCCGTATTGTTGGGATTAGTTCTGCTGTGAGATGTAGAACGTTCGAAGTAGAAGAAGGGTGAAACGGAGAATCGGATCAGAAGGAGGAAAGAATTGATTCTTCCGGAGTTCAGAGGATTAAATTGCTCAGCAACCAGTTCTGTAAATGGTATTTCACCTGTAAGACTTGTTCTTGTTTCGATAAATAACCTTAAGAATGACTTAAGGGAAGAAATGTTTCATCTTGAAATAAGACTGCAGCATTGGGAACTATTATGGCGTAAAAATAGAAGAGATTTATACTGAAAAATAGCCCTTGATATGGCTATTCGGATAAGATCAGCTCATTCTCTAACGTTTCGTAATACAATTCTTTAAAGCCTAGACTTAAAATATATATATTTTTTTGTTTTACAAATATTTATGTCTGAGCAATCTGTATCTTCAGTGCTTTACGTCCAACGTTGCATCGAATAATACATTCTTAAAAGGGGAAAAAAAGGACAAAAATGATACCGAAATACTACTTTATCTATAAAGAATTAGTAATACTAAGTATTATACGATTGAAGAGTGCTTATTAAACTAAAAATAAGCTATTTATTTACCGTATATATCTAATAACTAAATAAG